GGACACTTTTTTCTTGGCTTACCTTTCCCAGCCTGCAGCTACACCTTGCAGGTGGACTGATATGGGGGTGACGAGGGCCCCACTCTTTTGCCCCTAGTGGACTTGGGTAGAGCCTTCAACCTCCTCCTGGGGAGTTGGATGGAAGAAGGGCACCCCTCTTTTGCTGACCACCTTTGCTAGAAATGTAGCCTATGTGACTCTGAGCTGGAGTGAGGGGTTGGGAAGTGCTGGTGAGCTGCTGCTCTGGCGAGCCATTGTTTGGGGGAGCTTGTCTGTTGGCCCCACTCATTTGAAGGGAAGCCCCCAGGAGGCTGAGGGGAGTTCAGGGCGCTACGTCACAGCTGTGCCTATAATTCACATCTGTTGCATCATTTTTAAGAGTGAGACAGGTACCTTTTTGTTACAGGTGAAAGAACTCTTTTCTTCTTTGGGAGTCAACTATAATATCTTGGAACTTGATCAAATCGGTAAGTAAACAGCATATCATTTTCCATGTGATAAATGACAACAAGATTGACTTTTCTGCATTTACTTCGTTCAATTCAATTTACTCTTGTCTCTTTCTGTTAGATGAGCCATTTTTGTCTATTTCACTATGCAGAAAATGAACCTTTATATGACAAATAATTGGGTGGAGGTTTCCTTATTTATATGTTTTTCCGATTTAAGGGAAGGGAGTGGGAGGAAGATATATAAGCTGCTAACTTGGGAGTATTTGCAGTGTTTCAGATGTCTCTGCCGTCTTTCTAGCAAAATAGATTGAGCTGTAATAAATGAAAGGAATCTGCTCCTATTTCCTGACTCTGTTACTCTCAGGGGAACACATTCAGTTTGCAGCTTTGTACTTTTGACTCCTTGGCGTCCATGCATGTGATATTCACTGAACACTACACTTGGGGTGCTGCACAGGGGTGATGGGGAAAAAATTGCTATCTGCCTACATGGCACTGACTTGTTTCATCCAGGTCACCTGAGAAAGTGAAATACTCTTGAATTCCTTTTTATAGGTCTCAAACAAGGCAGCTTACCAAACAAGACAACTTAACTAGTCATGGCCTAGTTTTATTTTCAGAGATAGAGGCTAAAGTTTGGTCTATGTGCATAAAAATTTTTCAAATGGAATGGTAGGAAGTATTTTCTAAGTTCTTGCTTTTACAATTTTATATTGATATAGTATTTACTCTATAGAGAAGGCATAGTCATTGAGCTATATATCAAAAGCTCATTTAGAAAGGTTTATTTTTAAAGGAATCAATAGGTTGGTCTTTATTTTTTAAGATTTCCTCGAAAGCACTGGTGTTTTTGCATTTGAAACATCACTGTGTAGTTATAGAATGCACTGGCCTCTGTGGGTGTGCACCTGTGAGCATTTGAGTGTTGCTATACTCACTTTAATTCACATATGTTGAGAACCACTTATAGTGTCTTTATACAATTTTTTTTTCTTTAGATGATGGGGCCAGCATTCAGGAGATGCTGTTAGAGATCACTAACCAGAAAACCGTGCCCAATATTTTTGTGAATAAAGTACATGTGGGTGGATGTGACCAAACTTTCCAGGTAACCACAGTATATAAAACATGCTGTCTGTTCATGTTTTGTTTCAGAAAGTATTGAAAAGAGAAGATGATTTTTAGGAGTTTGTTGATTTGTCTTTTAGAGGTTGTAAAATGGACATGTGTATAGGATTGTTGTCAGATAATCTTGATTATTTTAAAGGAATGAGCCTTCCTACCAACTGAACTTTGGAAGCTCAGAAGCTAAGGAGAGAGTGTTCAGGTGAGATACCAGGCCAGGTGGGCAGGTCACCCTGCAGACAGGCCAGGTCTCCCCTCTCCAGGGGGAGAGAGAGGAAAGCTGTCCCTCAGAAAAATGAGAGCAGCACCAATGCCTGTGTCCAGGGTCACTGGATCCCAGTCAAAACTACTCCCTGGGGGTGCCTTACAAAGATCCTTGGCTTTTAATTTTTTGGTTCACTAATAGGAGTCATTCTGTGAGGAGTGACAGAAAAAAATCGATGTTTATTAAAGTCCTTATTTGATAATTGGTTATTTACTTTTATTAAGTTTCTGTTCTGTCAGATCCTTTATATGTGTATGCAAATGTTAGTAACTAGTGATTGAGTAAATACTTATTTGAAATTTTAATTAAGAATTATACTTTGGTTGGGAAAAAAGACTGTCTATGTGGAATGTTCATCTATGATTAACTGTGTTATGCAGAAATGGCCTGCTTTATTAGTCCTGGAGGCTCCTACCTAGTGTGCAAGTGGTAAGTACTGTAATTACGGCCCCTGAACACTTTCTGTAGCACTGGCCTGCCAGTCCCCACCTGGAAAATGATGTCAGAGAATGGATCTGGAGATGAGAGGTAGCAAATGTATTTCAAGGCTGAAGGGTTTTTCCTTGGTTAGCAGATGGATTTCCCTTGGGGGACCTAACAGTAAGGAGGCCAGTGGAGCCCTTTTTAGGATGTCCTAATAGCTGTCCCAAACAGCATTTCTTTGGTGGCCACTTAGCATCTGGTGGGCCCTCGTGGCTACAGAGCACCTGCTCTGCTTCACAAGAAGGGCTGATTGGAGCTTGCTCCCAAAGTCAAGGTAAGGGGGTTGAGCAACCGACTTTGCATAAAGAAAACTTTTCCTAAATCACTTATCAAACTCAGTGGTAGAATGCTTGTCTAGCATGCACAAGACCCTAGGTTTGATCCTCAGCATTACCAGAGAAGGAGGGATGGAGGGAGGGAGGACAGTGAACAAGAAAAACAAGAATAGCTGATTCCTAGCTCTTCATGCATGTATAAAAATATCAAACTTCTACCTTGACTAAGCTGCTTCAGATCCCCAGGAGGGCCATGGGAACAACAGACTATCATCAACAGCCAGCATCATAGCCATTGCTGAAAGAGAAACAAAATGTTCATGTTGTATAGGAAGTCACCAGCACAGATGTAAAATTTAGATCTATTGAGCAGAAATCAGGAAAAAAAATTGCTGATAGTGCCTAAGAATTGTTTTCCAAATGAAGACTAGCACAGAGAAACAAAGATCTTGAAAAATGAGGCTTGGGTATTTGGCAGTATCTGAGTGATATTTTGATGCCAAACCAAGGAAAATGACCTTTTATGACACAGATGCAAAGCCCTGACCCTGTGGGTCATTTGATATGTGCCTCGCTTCCAGGTAACAGGTCAAAACAGGCCAAAATCTATATACTTTGGCAAAAGGTCTAATTGGTGGACCCTATATGAACAGCATCCAGATAAATTTATGATTCCAACTTAGATGATTTATCAGTTGTTTCTAAGGGTTTTTTTAAATAAAAGAAATGCATGCTCATTGAACACTGAGTGGAAATAAACAGTGTTAAAGCCTCAAGTCATGTAGCCTCTCTCCTTTTGTAACCGCAGGCGCATCACAGCGGCTTATTGCAGAAGCTCCTCCAGGAAGACTCGGCCTGCGATTATGACCTCATTGTCATCGGGGGCGGTTCCAGTGGCCTCTCCTGTGCAAAGGTGTGGGCACAGGGTGAAGCTCGGAGATGCCTTTTGAAAAGATTGTATTTTAGCCTTGCAATCTAAGCTGGTTTAACTCAGGGAAAAGACCATGTTATTTCACAAACACAGAATGTTTTCACTTAAGGAAGAGAAAAATTAGGGGCAAGAAAATGACAGGATGTGTTTATGTAGTTGCTTTCTTGCAGGAAGCTGCCAACTTGGGAAAGAAAGTCATGGTACTGGACTTTGTAGTCCCATCACCGCGGGGCTCAACCTGGGGTGAGCCTCTTTGCTTCCGTCCTCTCTGCTTTTTACCTGCTTCGTTTGCTGGTATAATTTCATTTAATGCCCACAACAAACTCAAGCAGCTAAGTAGCCTGTTCTATAGATGAGGAGACTGAATCGAAGTTTAGAGTTAACAAGTGGTGATACTGAAAAGATAAAAGTAACTAAGGAAGCCGGGGATTTATCTCAGTGGTTCCTCTGCCTGCTTTGCAAGCACAAGCTGTCAAGTTCGATAACCGGTACCAAAAAAAAACAAGTAACTGAGGAAAATTTTACAAAAAGAAAAAAGATTTCAGGACCCAAACATTCTACCACTTGTGCTGTGGTTTTCAGTGTATGTGTGCTAATATTTTTACCATGCCATGGTCACAGTGTATGTACGTGTCCTGGTCACCCAGGTTTGCCCTGTGTTTCATGTCAGTTTCACCAGGCAGTCTAAGGGCTGCCTGCATGGATGCAGTCAGGGTCTGGGCCACCACCGTGTGGGTGAGTAAGGAGCACGGTGCGGGCCAGCCCTGCAACTGCTGTGTACAGTGAGGCAGCTTGGCTTCCTTGCTTCCTTCACTGCTTTTCAGTAAAACAGAACACACGGGTTTAGTGCTGGGTGTTTTCTGCGCATGCTTCACATGCATTCTCCTTCCGTCTCTCCCCAGAAAACGGATCAGGTGGCAGCCCCACTGCCTTCCAATATCCGCTGGGCTCAGCCAGAGTATTGGAGAGAAGGGAAGGTGGAGCTGGGTCCTTATTCTCCTGCCTTCCACCCTGTCCAGTCACTTCCTGCTCCTCTGAAGGGCCACATGTGTCAGAGGCTCCTCTGGGTCATAGCACTCAGCCTTATTGTCCCTTCATGTGGGGCTGCCAGCAGTCCCTGCTGACACTGGTTTGGGGACTGTTCTGGCCCTTTCTGCCTATACCTTGCAATAATTTATCCATGAACCCTCTTCAGTTACCCAGCTTGAATGTAGCTTCTCTTTTCTGCCAGATTGTGATGAATAAAATATCAAAATCTTTTGTTATTTTTGAGACAGGGTCTTGCTATGTAGTCCAGGCTGGCCTTCAGCTTACTATATAGCCAGGCTGGGCTCAAACTCACAATGATCCTCCAACCTCAGCCTCCTAAGTGCTGGGATTACAGGTGTGTGCCACCACACCCAGCTCAAAATCATTTTTAAAAACCCAAATTAACTCAAAAAGTTTTAGCCTAGAATTTCATGTAGTAAAACAATCTCCCTTGGTTTTTCTTTTAATATTCTTGGAGTGTCTGTACAGTTGTTTGTTTCTCCTCCTGCCCTGTTCCCTTTTTCTCCCTTTCCTGTCCATACATTCTACTAGAAGCTGGCAGCACAGAACAGCCAGCAGCCAGAAAGGGAAGCCTGCTCCTGCCCTGCAGGGGGTGCTCGACACCATTGGTTTGGGGTTGCTCAGATCCAGAGTAGATGTTACCAGGCAGCTTGCCAGGGACCCAGCTGGCTCAGGGGCCAGCATTGCCAAAAGCAAGACTGGAAGCTGAGCTCCTGACCCTTGGGTATAGCTCAGAAACCTAATCCAGCCACATTCCACTGTAGGCCAGATGCAAGTGTCCCCCATACTACCCGTGTGCACGTGTATGTTTTTGCCCATTGTTGGGGGCTCCTCCACAGACTCCTGGTTATTCAGAAAGTCTGACTAAATTACTTGTATCTTATTTTGGGGTGGGGCATCATCTCCACTACCACCTGAGCTTTTCGCCCCCATCTTTTTAGTGATACTACGAGGTGTGGGAGTCACACTACAGGCAGACAGAGGGGACCCTAAACTGACCAATCTTCCTCAGGCCTAGGCGGTACCTGTGTGAACATGGGCTGCATCCCTAAGAAGCTGATGCATCAGGCTGCCCTCCTAGGGCAGGCCTTGTGAGACTCTAGGAAGTTCGGCTGGGAGTATAGTCAGCAAGGTGAGTGAAGACGGATCTGCAGGGAGGAGGAATGACTTCCTAAGATGGAGACTTGCCAGTCACAGTTGACAGCAGAGCTTGAAACTCCTCTGCCAGACATTCAGTAGGAGCCCACTGTGTGCCACCATAGAGATGGTCCAGCTGTTGTGGGCCCCAGGTCTAGGACGGGGTGGTCTCAGGCCCTAGGAATATGGAAGATAGTGATGGCTGTTTTTGGGTTTCCTTCAAGTATGAAGAAAATAGAGTAGCAAGGGCTTTTATCTGTTACCATGATAACATCTTCTGTTTATCAGTGGTTATGTATCTCTTTGGTTAATGCGAAGTAGAAAACAAATTCATCACTAACCATTTATTGGCTAGGCTCTGAGGATGCAAAGGTGAGGAAAGCATAGCTCCTGCCAGGAGCAGCACAGACTCTGTTGGGAGAGAGATGAGGAAGCCCGTTTGGTGAAGTGTAATTCACACAGCTGTTTGGCATTGACTTGAGGGGCACCTAGTTCACCCTCGAGGGTGGAGACAAGGTGATCCTTGAGTCTGAAGGCCACAGAGAAGTAGGACACTGAGGACCACACTATGCAGATTCAAGAAAACAGGGTGCATCTGGGGGACAGTGAGTGGCTGGGGTGAGGAAAGGGAAAGGGGAGTTGGGAGAAAGAAGGTCAGCAAGGTAAGTGCCATCAGGGCCTTACACCCCGGAGGTAAAAGAGCTATTGAGGAGTTGAAGCAGGAGAGGACCATGAGCTACAGTTAAGGGTTTGGATCCTCCGGTGGCACCTCGGGACTCAGGATGGGGAGGAGCAGGGCGGGTGGAGGGCAAGAGAGGACAGAGGCTACCAAGTCTACAGTGGAGCCAGCTTTAGAGTCATGGCTGGTAGAAGGCAGGGCTTGAGAAAAATGGAAATAGAGGCTTTACAAATGAGAAGGGGAGGAAGGGTTGGGGGGAGGGGAGGGGAAGGGGACAAAAGAAAGAACTAAGGTGTGTTATGTGCATGTGCAAATTCGCCACAATGAGTGTGATCATTAGGTACTGCAAACGTGTCCTTAAAAAAATGGAAAAGAGACAAAATGGTAAGTTTTTTAATACCTTAGATAAGTGGGTCAGGAAAAGGAGGAAACCAGGAGAGTTGTCATAGAAGCCAAAGGGATTCGACTTTTTCAGGGCAAGATTTAGGACTTCAGGAGTCTAAAGAGAGAGCCAACTTGAGCCGGTGCTGCAGAAGGCTCAATGGAGTCAGGCTTCGATGTAGACATTTTGATTCAGCAGGTACTTAAGGAGTTCTTTCTTTCTTTTTTTTTTGATGTAGTGAGGATTGAACCTAGGGGGTGCAGAGCTACATCCCCAGCTCTTTTGTAAATTCTGGTTTAGAAACAGGGTCTCACTAAGTTATTCAGGCTGCCCTCAAACTTTCAATTCCCCTGCCTCAGCCTCCCTAAAGAGCCTTTTCATTTATTTATTTTTTAAAATAAAAGTGTTTCTATAGTGTTTTTCAAATAATTGACCCCAAGTGACACGTCTTAATCTATTTTCTGTTGCTCTAACAGAATACTGAGACTGGATAGTTTATAAAGAAAAAAGGCAGTCCAAGAATGCACCCTGGCATCTTTCTGGCTTCTGGGGAGGGCAGGGGACATGCAGGGAAGAGACCAAGGGCAGGAGTGGCCTCTGCTTTCATGGTCAGGAACCAGGCCCACAAGGTTGGACCTCACTCCTGGGAGAAGCGCCTGGATGCCTTCAGTGACCCAGTCACCGCCACGAGGGCAGCCAGGTTTCCCCTGGGTTCTGTTGGGTTCAGAGCACATCCAAACCCAGTGTGGCAGGAACCTTGAGGTCCTCATAGCCAGAAAGGCTGAGCAGGGCAGAGCGTGGCTCCTTGTCTGGCGTTCTTGAGGCCCACAGAGCAGACAGGCCTTCTGTATGCTTATGTCACAACTGCTGCGGTGCAGGCCAGCCACGGGGTGTGGGGCTTGTTAGCTCTGTGTCTTGTCTCATCTCGCACCATGTAGGTGCTGTGCTTCCATAGGGCATGGCCGGAACCTGTGCACACACCATCCTCACTCCAGAGGCCTCAGCTGATGTTCCTAACTCTGCTAAGTGCTCGCTGGATGTTTCTAAATACTTAGCACAGCACCCCAGAGATGACTTGGAAAGCATTCATAGATGGGGAACTTTGAGGAATATAACTTTCTTGAGGGAGCCAAATTTTAGGTTTTTCAAAATTCCCTATAAATAAAATTCTTCTAAGTCAGTGTTGGGTGCTTACTAAGAAATACTTAGCTTGGGACTGCTGCTTAGCATGTGTAAGGCTCTGAGTTCGATCCTCAGCACCATGCAAATGCAGAAAAGGAAGGAAGGAAGGAAGGAAGGAAGGGAGGGAGAGAGGGAGGGAGGGAGGGAGGCAGGACCAAACCTCACATGGAGTGTGGAGCATAGCAGTTTATAGGCATAGGCTCAGAAAATGATCAGAAGTGAACAGAATCTGAGAGGTGAGAGAAAGGAATTCATGCTGCAATCTTGCTCTAGGAGAATGTTTTAGATACTTCTACTCTTGATAGAGAAAAATATAGGTTAAAATAGGTTTAAAATGTATACGTAATTTCCAGATTAGAAGTTGAATGTAGAAACTCCAGTAAAAGGTTAAAAAGAAAAGGGGAAAATGTACAGAGAATAGTTAGTAGGACAAAAATAAGAAGAGAAGCAGCATGAAATTGTAATTCCAAATAAACACAATGGCAACAGAAGATAAGAGCAATCATATGATTTATAAGAATAAAACTGAAATAGGATAAAGTGAAATGGGTCAAATTATCAGGTTCAGTAAACAGCAAACTCCTTCCATGTACTGTTTACACACAAATACCTAACATCTAAAGAGATCATTGTTGAAAATATTAAAATTTTAAATTTTCAGTTAGTTAAAATTTCCTGTTTATTAATTTAAATATATGAGAAAGTTTTGAATAGAAGGGAGAAGATATATTGAGGAAATACAAATAAAAGGAATAGCAGTTAGCACCAATAAGCAGAACATAAGCAAAGACAAGCAAACAACCAACCTAGAAATTCACAAGTCAAGGCTGCCCCCACCTTCTGCAAATAGAATTGATAAACAAAATCTAGAGTATGGTGTTTGAGCTGGTGTAGTGGGATGTGCATGCCTGTAGTCCTAGCACTTGGGAGGCTGAGGCATGAGGATCACCACAATTTCAAGACCAGCCTGGTCTACATAGTGATTTCAAGACCAGCCTGAGCTATGTAATGAGACCCTGTCTCAAAAAAAATGGAGTATGGTGTTTGAAAATATAAATAAAATGTGTGGATCTTGTAAATCCAATCAAGGAACCCAGAGGTAAGAACTCAGACATATATGTAACAACATTGGTATGAGAAAAGAAATATCACTACAGACAAGGAAGACAAAGCATTTGATGTAGTTGTACAAATTAGTGCTGATAATTTAAATGTCTCAATGAAAAGAAATATCTTCTAGGAAAATAGAAATGATTAGAATGACATAAATTATCAAAGGAAATGAGTCTGAGAGCAACTAGATTCCCAAGACACCATAGCTTTACAAAGCCATTTTCTCAAATCTTAAAGGAATAGACTCTTCCTGTGTAATTTAAACTGATGTAGAACTTAGAAAAACATCAAGACGTTTGGGCCAGGGATTTAGCTCAGTGGTTTCGTCACCTGCTGTGCAAGCGCAAGGTCCCGAGTTCGATCCCCGGTACCAAAAGAAAAAATCAAAAAGTTCATCATTTTTCTTTTCTTTTCTTTTCTTTTCTTTTTTTTTCTTTTCTTTTGAGGCTGACATAGCTATGATACGTAGTTTGAAAACAGAAAACTATACCCATAAAGGTTCCAGCATTCTTAGGACAGCTGTATCCTAGAGGAGTGCAGGTGGCTGGGGCAGGGTCCCTGTAAGGTGGGTTCCCAGAGGGACAGATGAGTGCCTCGAATACACTCATGCTTTTCAGTGGTGCACGTACTTATTGCATGATGGGGAAAAGCCAGAGCACATATTTAATCAGGAGAACGTGGTGTTAAACGCAGACTCAGGCAGGTGGCCCTGCTCTGGTGCAGGACCTCTTGCCAATGTGCACA